TGAGGGATCTATTCGGAACACGAAGTTGGTTTTCTCAAAGTTGTACCTTAATGTCTCCGATTTTCCATTTGAGACGTCCGTTGGGTACTTCCATGAACTCACCACTGACCACTACAAGATGAGTATTGCTCCGCGATCATTATCGTGATTTAACCCGGGAGCGTACACAACATTTGCCTGGTGTAATTCATAACTAAATTAAGATGATGTGTCATGTGTCATAAAGACATTGCCATATGCAACATGTGCCACTGTTTTCGTCATAAATCGTCCGGGAGCATATAGTTCGTTAGTTCGATAAGGGTGTATTGTTCAGATCATTACAATCCCACGGAAAAATGGTAACTCAGGCATCAGCGCACGGCAATGTCGGCATCGGTGAGCAGCACTGACGCCAGGCGACGTAGGCATCAGTGGGCGGTAATGTCGGCATCGGTGAGGGTACTGACGCTTCTCCAGCGATCTGGGACCGAGGCTCCGGACAGTTCAAACCGATTCGCAAGGCGCCAGTACAATTACGGTCAACGCCTTACTGGAAGGGTGATAGCGGTGTTTACCAATCTGATCAGGTTTTTATGCTTGAAGTTAAGTTGAAATGAACTTATTATGGTATGACCTGGACCGCCCTCATACACCTCGTAATGCATCTGCGTTTCCATGTGCCCACGGTGATAGATATTCCCGTGTGTCATCCGATAAATATTTGGAAGGGCCTCTAAAGCTCAGCATGCACTCTTCCTCTTGCCTTCAAAGTGGGCGCTCTCTGTCAAATAGACGACCTCGCGAATATATGGCACGCAATGGCTGCGTTAACTGCAGTTTGCATACAAGAGGCACACATATCGCATAATCGCGAATATGGCCGGGCCATTCAGTGATCGTGGGTATTTCCGGCACTCTGCCAGATGGCCCAACGTCGTCGAACAGCCAGCCTGAGCTTATCACAGAAGTGCCTGACTATTTACCTGGTTCACGTGTCAGGGAGTTGAAATTTCACACCTCGTTTAAGAGGACATCTCAGTCACTCTCGTGGCTTGGGAGCAATGCGGTCGATGATGGGAGTTATAACCCAAAATAGAAACCGATACGTAGAAGCTACAGAAGCTTAAGTTATGCTTGGGTCATTTTACGTCAAATCGATCAAGTGTTCCTCCTGCCGTGTTCTACCATGATGAGATTTGGCACAGATAGATCGAAGTAAAAAATATGATCAAAAGCCAATTTGCAGCCCCAGAAGACCTCCGGGATCATAGCCGAAGGCCATTCAACTTCTTAAACTTTTAGTTGCCCCAACTTGACCCGACGGTTCCGAATTTCTACAGCGTTGTGTAGGACTAACGTAATTTGATAATTAACTGCCATATAAAACCCATCTCTCGTTGCTTTTGAACATGTAAGAGTTATTTTATGACACTGGTCTGACCATCTATCTGACAAGATGAGCTTCTCTTTTATTAATAACTTTGGGCCGATTTATTTTCTTTTGACTTTCTTCCCTAAATTTTCTGTTAAATTTCTAAGTTTATGCGTTATGCTCTCGCCATGTAATGCAACGCCAGGACAAAAAAAAATTGGTAAATGAGGCCTTTTTAGACGTGATGCGATGCATTTTTTCTCTGATGATTCACAAATCGGGCTGCAATAATCTGTTTTCAGAATGGCCTCGAAAGCTGAAATTAATTAAGTTTCCCAAAACGTTTAGAGACCGCAGATTGTGCTTAAGAACACTTAATGGTTTATTTTTGGATGTATTGTTGGGCAACTCATATTTCGCCACTGCAGGAGGTCATTCAGTGTGACCTGAGGGCATCCATGATCTTGACGCTGATTAATTTGACCTTAGATACCTAGGTACCTAGATCGGAAACGGATATACTTCGGTAAAGTGCTCGGTAAAAACTGGCATTGCGCATCACATCAAAACTAAACCCACATGTAGAAGCGGTCGGGTCTGTCTTAACGGCATCTACGGCCAAGCCAATCAAGCGTTGATCTCGGCTGATCAACGCGTATGTTTCACAAGAGAACTCGGGTCGGGTTGTCCGTAACTCATCCGGTTTTCCTTAGATTGTTCAGTATGCCCGCAAGTCTATACCATTTTACAGCTGATGCCCTACTTCGATTGCATATGTTTGCTAATGATTTAACATGGGTGTTGCCCATCTTGCAGTTAATTATTATGCAATTGGACTTCGACACTGAGTAATACGCTTACTAGGGTTTTGCAAAGGTTCTATTTACATAGGTTTTATAGTGCGAACAGTTGCTTTATATCTTTTAAAATCTAGTGTCGTTAGATTTGATGTAAAAATTTGCATGAAATATCACGTAGCATTGCCTCCATGCTCTTCTGGACATGGGGGCGAAACTAAAAAAACGTGGCGGAGAATCAGGGCCTGTTGCTAGATTTGTGTAGCGAATACGGCGGCTATCTGGAATGCGCAGCTGTCTCTTGAAATATTTAAACACAAGTGCGGTTTGCCGCGAATGACGGGACGCCCGCGCCATCTCGTGTCATCATGATAATGCCGGAAACGCCGCCACCCAGTCACAGCTAGGTAAAACACACGGACCACTCTGTTCAGGTATCAGAAGGATCGTTTAGTTCAAAGACCACTTGGACTTGGCATTGATGGGTTCCAAAGTGATGCTTTATTGGGAACTGTTAGCGGTGACGGTCACCTGTCTGTTACGGTAACTCAGTTAATCATTTCACACCATTCTTGATTAAGCGTCATTCCGTTCCATTCCATTAGGAATTTCCGGCTCGTTCCTGTCATTTTGTTTTTGTCATCATCCAGGAAGCCCCGCCACCTTTAGAGTGTCGGAACCGCTGCCGCCGCGCTAGTACCGGGTAGAACGTCCTTATTTCATGGTCGGCACCGGTCGCCGAGGAATTGAGGTCGGGTGAGCTTGGCAGCGGTCAAGAGCATACAATTTAATATCCAGGCTGGGTGAGACACGTTGTTGCGAGGAACTGGTCAATGCAGCATACAAATCACACATGTTTCGTATGCTGCAAGCCGGAACATGTTCCGGTTTGCCGACATCACGTTCGACTTGTTTTCAGCTTCTGAGTAGTAAACACTTTGCGCTGTCAATACAATGCTGTATCTACTTGGTTAAGACATTGCACTGACAACGAAACCATCGATTGGTCGTATGACGCCCTGTTGGTGATAATGGGACATACACAGACCGCGCAGGCATGATGGGCTCGGCATTACGGGAAGTCCCAAAGTAAAACAATTACACCGTACTTGCCTGCCTGCATGGGCGAAGGGACCCAGCTGTCTGTGTTCATTAGGGATATGCATTTCTTGATTCTCTGTTATTTGCCGTCACTGAAAGTCGTTATTTGGAAGCCTTTTATTTTTTACAGATGCCGCTTTTAAAAGGCGTTCGCCAAGGTTTGACTGTCATGAGACGCCATGTTTGATATATTTATTCATTTATTTGCAATCTGGCATTTGTCGTACTCTCCCAGTCAAACGCTAAAATACCATCATTGTGTATATATGCTGTAACTTCTTTGGAACACATGTTCAAAATGCGTGAAGGAAAATATATCGCCGTCGTTAATACAAACGTCAAGCTATTGACGATTCCAAGCATTGAAAGCGGATCGAACTGCAACGCAACCATGATCCAAAATTCCTAGCTTTTGTTCATACATTTTCGGGGTCATTCAAGGCCGGTGCCATTTAAATTGAACGTCATGGACATTTTCGGGGTCATTCAAGGCCGGTGCCATTTAAATTGAACGTCATAGACATTTTCGGGGTCATTCAAGGCCGGTGCCATTTAAATTGAGCGTCATGGACATTTTCGGGGTCATTCAAGGCCGGTGCCATTTAAATTGAACGTCATGGCGCTTGCGATGCCACCATGACATGGACGGCTCTGACCTAGCTCTGTACCGAACGCAACAAAAACAGGTGGGTCGGATGCAACTGAACACGACAACGGCAGCGATTGCCATAATCTGACAGATAACCCAAACTTTAGATCCGAAAGCGGTCTGCGCAAATGTTGTAGAATGTAATCGGTGTTATCTTTGGGGTTGGATTGTCTAACCTAATCTTAAGGGTTTTTGAACGGGCAAATCCATAAATCCATAAATCTACAAATATACCGAAGGTTATTTCTGCTCAAAGACGACTATTTACGGCAGTTCCGTAATTGGCCGACGAGATACGCCAGTTCGACACTGTAGTATGCGACGTCTCGTTTTTTTTGTGCTTTTTTTCGTTTTTGGTGCACCAATTGCAAGAGATGCACTACGTCATGCTGTCGTATAAACATTTTACTGTGCTTGTTATTGCCTTAACCTTGTTGTGTATTTTGTTTTACTGAGTGTGAAACATTGCTACTGCATCGTTATAATATGAATTAAAAGAGGAATAGTACACTTTGCTGAGTGTCTGCCAACCACGCCGGTTTTGACCAGCAAAAAAAACAGTACAAACTGGAAAGTAGCAGAAGCTAGCTTCAGCCGGGTGAAATGTTACCCCTGCCAGTGATCTGCCGGTGGAAACAAAGGTTTTAAGTAATCTCTAATCTTTCTTTTACCTAACGTCTAATTTTTTATCTAATCTTTTATCTTTTATTTATTTTTATCTTTATTCTTACCTTTTAGTAAGTAATCTTAAGTAAGTAATCTTTAAGGCTCGAAAAGTTGGATCACGCTATCAACGGACAACTAAACATCGCCATAGTTGAGACATCGCCATAGTTGAGACATCGCCATAGTTGAGATATCGCCATAGTTGAGACATCGCCATAGTTGAGACATCGCCATAGTTGAGAGCTTAGCGCCGTCAAGATGCAGACCACGACATCGTGGCCTTCCCAGCATCAGCAGCCTCCCCGCGCGGAGATCCACCCCTCGCCAGTAGCAGCCACGGCGGGGCCGCCGGTCAGCCGTCCCTCCCCCCCCCCCCCCCCCCCTCCCGCGTGCGAAGCGGCCGGTGCCGACTCGGTCGTGTCTGTCGTTGCAGCGTGTCGCTGGCCAGTGTCAGCAGCGAGGGCTCTGCCGACTCGCACCTGGTCGAGCAGGAGGACATCGTCGCCCTGACGCACGACGTGCGTGCCTTCAAGGAGGCGCTCGGCAAGCTGCGCCGCATCTTCCACCCGGATAAAGGTAAGGCACTGATCCAAGTGCGGTTCAGGGGCGGGTATGTCCCGGATAAAGGTAAGACACTGATCCAAGTGCGGTTCAGGGGCGGGTATGTCCCGGATAAAGGTGAGACACTGGTCGAGGTGCGGTTCAGGTGAGGGTATGTCCCGGATAAAGGTGAGGCACTGGCCGAGGTGCGGTTCAGGTGAAGGTATGTCCCGGATAAAGGTAAGACACTGATCCAAGTGCGGTTCAGGGGAGGGTATGTCCCGGATAAAGGTAAGGCACTGGTCCAAGTGCGGTTCAGGTGGGGGCATGTCGCGGATAACGGTGAGGCACTGGCCGAGGTGCGGTTCAGGTGAGGGTATGTCCTGGATTAAGGTGAGGCACTGGTCGAGGTGCGGTCCAGGTGGGGGCATGTCGCGGATAAAGGTGAGACACTGGTCGAGGTGCGGTTCAGGTGAAGGTATCTGCCGGGTGAAGATGCTTCTGTGATAGAGGTATGGTTCGGGGAGAGGGCGTTGCTCGGCAAGGGGACTGACTCGCGGTCGATAGGGGCCATTTTCGGTGGCTGCACGAGGTCTGCAAGTACAGAGCAAGATTAGGCGTGACGTCGTTCTTCTTTATATTGCCCGTCTCTCTCAAGTTTTCTCGCCGTCTAGACTGAGGTACAGGGGCGTATGGGGCGGGGGCTGAATAAGGAAGTAGGGAAAAACGAAACAAGACTAAGTATGCCCCAAATACATAAAAATGGAGTTTTCTCTCCAACTTCCCCGCACTCCCTTTAAAAGTCGGTTTGCTGGACTAAATTCAAAACTACACACCTGATGAGAGGCGTGGCATTCAGTTGGCCGAAAATGTCGCGATGCCACTGTCACGCACGAATGAAAATGGTGAGAATGGTCAGGGAGAGAGACCAAAGGCCACGTTCTTGAAAAAAAATGTTTAAACAGCGATATTGCGGCGTTGGTTTTTGTACTACCTGCCTAGCTGCTGTCAGTATGAGCACCTCGCCGGTTATATTTGTCGCTGGCGCAATCCGCGCAGGGAGGCGTGGCTGCTTGCCGTCAGCCCTCTGGCCTCTTTTGGATGGTTCGTTGACGTGGCAGCGTCCTTTGCCTTTTACATCAGCCTGGCTGGGCAGCGGTCACGCATCGCAGGCTGCAGGGCGCGCGGGTCACGGTCGCCCTCCGCCTCAGGTCCTCTGCCCAGCGGGCTCGGGACGATCCCGCCGCGCCCTGACCGCGCCCGCGGCGGCGGCGGCGGCGGCGGCGGCGGCGGCCCGTGCGGCACGGTTACGCGCCGTTCGCACAGAGGCGTTGGCGGCCGCTCCGACTTCAGTGGCAGCGGCTGAAGCCCGCCGCCGCCGGGCTCAGTAGCCGGGGCCGCCGGCGAGCTCGGCGGCCAGATCAAAGCGTTTGCTCCCCCCCGCCGCCACCCCCGCCCCCTGCCCGGGGGCGCCGCGTCTGTTGGGTGTGTCGGCGTTCGCCGCCGCGCCGGCTTTGTGCACCTGTTGTGCGCCCCGTCTGCCAGCGCAGCACGAGCCGTCTCCGATCAGACGCTCTGACGTCAGAGCGGTTTTGATGACGTGTTCGATGACGCCAGATGACGCTCTATGATCGGCGCCGGCGACAGCTGCCGGCGATTATGCAAGGTGGCGTGCTGGCGGCCGCTGTTCCAGCAGGCAGACGTCCGACCAGGCGTGCCGCTGTTATTGATTTCAGTCGGCTGTTGGGTCTGGTCGCGCCGTATATGCCCGGCGGCGACCGACTAGTCTTTCCCCGTCCGTCTCGGCCTGAGCTGGGTAGCAGAGGTTCGATGGCTGGACGTTTATCCTCAGAGACAGCATTCACCTTCAGCAATGCACTGGCTTGACCAGCAAACTATTGCAGCGGTCTGAAGCATATTATTACGTTAGTTTATTAGTTCCAGTGGCGAAGCAACATATATTGGTTTTATTTGAGTTGCATACCATTTTGCAAGATGCACGCGCCGGTTGTCTGGGGTAAATGGGCGTTACCGGGTTTGAAATAAGGCCGTTTCGCATGGCTACGCTTTCGCATGCGTTTCCGACCTACCTTCCCCTCTGCCCCCCCCCCCCCCCATTTATTTGCCCAAATGTCCGCAGCAATTTCAGCCGCAGTGGAAGTCGCAACAGGGTAGAAGCTCAACCTATTGGATATTTTAATCCAGGATAGCGGGAAGAAGGGAAATCCCGGGGTTCATAACTCCAGTTCTCAAATCTATCTTTACCTCTGCCAATATAAGCGTATCGTGTGAAATGGTCTATTTATACGGTGCAAGTTTGCGGGCAGGCAGAAAGACAGACGTTTTCTCAAGGCTGACTTATTGCAATGCCTTATTGAAAGACTGGTATTGGAGACCAGCTAGACTCATTGCAACTCCTACCCCACCACCTGCTAGAGCTAGTGGCTCGATGAGGAGCCGTTTGACTAAAAACAGCTGACCTAGCGATTCGAAAATCGCTTGATGTTGATGTCCTGTTGATGTCCTGCTTGTCAGTCAGCTGATGTCCTGCTTGTCAAATGGGACGACGTATTCAGACCGCATTTACAGAGCACAATGCTTCGACTGTTTAGACACTGCTGAATCTGAGCCATCCCCGGCAGTAGCAAAATTATGACTTCCCAAGTAGTGATGGGTTCACTGGGCCACTTCCGTAGTCCCTGACCTACGCACGAAGCCAAGATGCTCCCGAACCGTTCGCCCGTATTTTTTTCTTATAAAATAGCAACCCACTTCATGCGGAACAACCTTCCGTCACGCCTGCCAGTCCGGGCCGCTGCAAGTCTGCAAACCCCGGGGAATTCGTCCACCCCTTTTCCTCCTGCCACACACGATCCTTCTTCACTTCTCCGTCTCTTTGCACTCCCCGTCCCCGGGCCCGCGCGACCGGCGGCGGCGGCGGCGGCGGCGGCGGCGGCGGCGGCGACGGGCGACCCGGCGCCCGTGACACCGCGCTTCCGCGTTATTTGCCAGCCGGCGCCGCGGGGCTGCCGCGCCCGGCGCCGCACCGGCGCGGAACAGATTGCACGTCGCGCGTGCCGACGCGTCCGCATGACCCGACACCTCGCCGTAAGCAGGTCATTTCTGCTGGCGCTGCGGCGCGGCAGCCGTCGTCTCGCGCGGCCGCGGCGCCGGCGCCGGCGCCGCTGCCGCGCTTCGCTCGGCAGCCCACGTAACAGGCTCGTTACGGGAGGGAGGCGCCGCCGGCCGTCGACGGTCCGAGTTTGTGGCATCGGTCGGCGCTGAGCCGGACGCGCGGTGTCGACAGGTCCCGCTGTCAGAGCACGCGATGGAGTGGCTGGCATAACGGTGAAGCGTCCGGCCAGCACCGGACCTGTTAGCAGTGTTTGGGTGCTCTATTTCCGAGTGGTCATGACATACCCGAAGATTAAGCGGGAAGAGCGGGGACGGCGATTTTTCATCGCGTTGGATGGGGAGGACATTCATATTTGTTGCCCTCCATTAAGTCCACTCTTGATAAAGGGTTCTAAGTGGGAAAGTTCGACATTGAAGGGTGGTGAGTGACGTATGTATGGGCCGAAGATCTGAGGAAAATGACCCCCTTCGACATTGACAAGAGCTTCTAGGAAGAACCATCGGAGATCATGTGATCCCAAGTGCCAGCTTAAAAGCCTTTGCCAAATCGGACATCCCGGACATCCATAGGCGATTAGACAGAACGTCTTAAAGAAGTGTGTTGCCACCATGAGCAGAACGAGCGAGGGACGTCACGTGGCATGGACCGGGCCACCGAGGAAGGTCCCGTGGCATCACAGCCGTTGGAAGGGCCCACCCGACATCCACAGCCGACGAAGAGGACTGTCCGACAGGTTGGCCGATAGCGGGGGAGCCCCCCCCCCCCCCCCCCGAGCGTCGTCGTCGCTGCCGACGCGCTGCTCTCGCTCTGGCGGTCGGGTCCGGGTCGAGTCCTGCAGCGAGCCCTGCCCATCGGGCGACTCGCCGAGTCAGCTGAGTCAGCTGAGTCAGCGGCAACGGAAGCCCGCTCCCCATCTCATCACGGTCCGAGAGCCCACCCACGTTGTTGCGGCAGAGCGGAGTGTGTGAGCGTGACGTTTAGGGCACACAGTCGTGCACAGCGTCGTGCTCGGTCTCATCCAGGGTCGGCTGCTTTGTTTAACGCGCATCTGGTTGCTCATCTAAGTCGGGCCCGGTCCCATGAGTTACAGTCTTCGCAGGAAAACCGAAAGTTAAATGTGATACGAAATAGATGAAACGATGGACTCCAGGAAGCTTTTACGATCAGTGCAGCAAACGATGTCGTCAGCTTTGCATAGTTACAGTGAAGCCTGTCCCTCGCTGCCTGTCGCTGAAGAAGCGCATCCGCAGTCATTTCATTAATGGTGTCTAGCGTGCCTCACGACCCCGCATCGTCTCGAGTCATATCGCGCCATCGCTTCACATCGGCTCGCGGGCTTCCATTAGCTAGCGGCGTCCTCCCACAAAGCATTGAGAACCTTGCGGCGCGCCCCTTCGGCCACGAGTCGGAGCCGGCTCCTCGCCGGGCGCCAGACTTCGATCGGGCCGCTCCGCGCGGCGTTCCCAGCGCTCTGCCGGCGGCGGCCGGAGCGGCATGAGGAGCCAGCGGCCGCCGGCGGTGTGAAGCGACATCTGGCGGTCGGCTGGACGGGCCGTACAAAAACCCTCTTCCGCCACCATTGTCCGGCTGCGGGTGAAAAGGCCCGGCCCCGAACGAATTGACGGCCACCGGCCAAGTGCATGGGCCGGCTGACGGGTGGTGTGATGCGCCGAAGCTGGAGTCGCCCGCCGCGGGGATGGGCCGCGTCAACTGCACGGAGGGCGAGAGGGAAGGTGGAGGTAGAGGTGAAGGAGAGTGGGAGAGAGAGAGAGAAGGAGAGTAGCAGGGAGGAGGAGGAGGAGGAGAGGAGGAGGAGGAGGAGGGAGGAGGAGGAGGAGGAGGAGGAGGAGGAGGAGGAGGAGGAGGAGGAGGAGAGGAGGAGGAGGAGGAGAGAGAGAGA